TCTTTAGACTTTTTAGTGTCCATGAGTGTTGCCCAAAGTGCCTCGGCGACATTCTTTTTAGTGTGCATTACATCAATGTTATGTGGCAGAAGAAGGTCATCGAAATAGGGGAGCCTCATCATGCCCGAGATATGAGTCCACATATGTTGCTCACCATATCCCACAAAACCACCTTCTTCATTAGGCACGAGAGCATCTATCTTAGAATGAACCTCGGCACCAGTCATCATTCGGGGTGCATCAGATATCACTTTGACACCTTTCGTAAAGTTCTTGATGTCTTGTCTGAATGGATGGTCAAGAGGTAGGAATTGACGATGTCTGTCGAACGACGAATACTTGCCACCCTTCTGCAACCAAATGAACCACACACCTTCCTTGCATATTGGGCAAGGGAACTTCTTGTGAACACACTAGGCGCATAATATCTCATACGCCAGGAAGTCATGCAGGGAGTAGTGGTACCAAACGTGCATTTTGAAGGTTGTCTTTGTAGCTCGATCGTATGTCCATACCCCTTCGTCCCAAGCACGGACCAATTCATCAAACACAGGCTCCATGAACACACCTATATTACTTCCTAGGTGTCCAGGAATTATCAAAGACAAGAATACATTATGTCGTTGAAAGGAGACACCAGGGGGGAGATTAAGGGGGATAACGAAGACGGGCCAACATGTGTATGTGGCAGCCATCATTCCATAAGGATTGAACCCATCTGTTGCCAGCGCGACACGTACATTACGAGCCTCATCTGCTTTGTCATGATGTTTGTCATTAAAGCGGATCCAAGCTTCACCATCGATGGATGTACCATCTTGTCGATTTGTACCGCTTGCCATTTTGTGCCATGTCATCTGCTTCGTGGATTCCTCACCATGTATAGCCGTTGGATCCTCGGTAGGAACGGAAGGTACCGTGAGATTTTCATGGGGATCGTAAGTTGCCTCTTCCGCCATCATCAGAGTCTACCTCCGGTACCGGAGGATTTACACTTTGGACAGAACTTTGCATGCTCGTGTTCTTTCCTAAATAGGACGCACCCCTTCGGACAAGCATGTATTTGCTCATACGGCATCTTAAGTGCTCGAAGGAATTTCTGTGACTCGTACATGCTCTTTGGCAGAATGTGGCCCTCCGGAAGCAGGGTGCCAATCACGGCCAACATCTTATCGAAGCCAGGTCGACTCAAGTTTAACTCGGACTTCAACCCCATTAAGCGTCCAATGGCATCCAGTTGAGACACTGTTGACCGATCGTGAAGGGGTTTCTGTGCCGACTCCATCATGTCGTAGAACGCCTGTGCGGCTGCCTCCATCTCCTCCTTCTCACGTCCCTCATCGAATTATCCTTGGTGAAAGTCATCTAACATGTCTGGTACCCCGGCATCAGCATCAAAAGCCTCCACCCATGGTCTCACCACCTCCTCTCTCACACGATGGGCTTCACCATGGTGGACCCACCGGGTGTAGTCCAGCGTAAATCCATTCTTCACAAGATGTTTACCCATTTCCACCTTGTTTTCCCTCCTCCTATTTCCACATTTGCTACAGGGACACAAAACTAGGCAATGTCCTTTACCAGCCTTGCCAAATGCACTGTTCAAGAAAGCATCGGTCTTGTTCATCCATTCCGTGGTGTAATCACTCTGACTTCTCCAGCCCGTGTACATCCACTGACGGTCATCCATCCTCTAACATATGTATCAGCGAGTAATGTAACCATCAATTGCATCTACATGGTGTTCCTACTATCTAATAGGTGAGGATAGGTCCTAATCCCACCCGCGGATGCGTAGATGAGGTTAGTTTCCATGCTCTACTCCTATCCGAGACATAATTTCAGCAGCACCTCCCCGCTGTTCTCTAGATACACGTCCTGTCAAAGAAGAGTGCGTATCTGGAGAACAATAGGGAGGTGATGCCGAAACTCTGTCTTGGACCGGAGCAGACCATGGAAACTAACCCATCTACGCATCCGCGGGCTGTCCAAAAACCGTGGACAATCTGAAACAGATACGGTCATAGATATGCAAAGATCCGCATACCTCCAACCATATCTCTTTCGAATGGGAGACGCCTAACTAGGTTACACGATCTACGACCATGATACGGAAAGAGGGGTTATACCCAGGGTGGCGGCAGAGTCAGGCTAGCGGGGCCGTGGCGGGTCGGTGCAGTGGCGACGCAGCGCGGTGCAGGCAGACCGGCACAGTGATGCGAACTCCGACTCGGCTCCGACGGGCTCTTCTCTACCAAAATGGAACAAAATACTGTCATTTAAAAAAAATCGACAGAACCTCCCCTGCACGGTGAGGTTTCCAAAACCTACAAAAAACAGCGGCACAATGGCCGACAAGCACATATGTCTCAAGAGAAGCCATGTAATTTGGATATCAATCCATGCAGAAGAATATATCCAAGTAGTACCACTACTTCTACTACTACTTCCACTATTGCTACTACTACTACCACTAGTTCTACTACTACTACCACCACTATTGCTACAACTACTACCACTAGTTCTACTACTACTTCTACCGCTACTTCTACTACTACTACCACTAATTCTACTACTACTAGTACCACTAGTTGTACTACTACTACCACTACTTCTAATACTATTACTACCACTAGCACTACTAGTACAACTAATACTACTACAACTATCACTACCACGACAACAACAAGAGAGAAGGCATACCTGACGGGCGCCGGGGGTAGGGCGCGGCGGCGTCGGTCGGAGTCGGGGTCGCTTGAGTCGAACGGGTCGGCACGGGCGCGGCCGGGGTAGGGTCGGCTCAGGCGGTGGGTGCGAGGCACGGTCAAGCAGGGTCGGGCAGCATGGGGGGGGCAAGGCGCGCGCAGGCATGCAAGACGGGCGGCGCAGGCACGCAGCTGCGCAGACGGCGCTGGGCGATGGTGGCGGCATGGCATGCCGGGCGATGCGATGGGGGCGGGGGGTGGTCATTCTGCTTGACTACATGTAGAGATGTCCTGGTTTGTAAGCATTGTACGTGATAACGTGCACGAAATCTTCTGAAATTTTTATTATAGCCTCCACATATGATATGACGACACCTCAACAAGTTTCATGATTTTTGGATTTCGTTTGCTTTTTATAGAATTTAAAAACACTTCACACGTAAGTTCGCGGTCATGTTTCGTGAACAAGATGTCCGAAATTTCGGGTCCGTTCCTGGATACGGCCTCACACTACACTCAGTAACATGACTATCATTTTTTGAATCATTAAATTCCATTATTCGTACCACGTGCAGTTCAAAATTATATTTTTCAAAAAAATTCAAGTAAATGAAATAAAGTAACTAAATATATCTAAAAGCCACAAAAAATCCCCAAATTCTAACTAGGAGTTCCTGGTGCTTTAAAAGGGCTGCACAAAAAATTTAGAGGCCAAAAACAAAAAAAAACTTTGCCGAGTGTCGGGGCATGGCACTCGGTAAAGGGGGTCTTTGCCGAGTGCCACGGATCAGGCACTTGGCAAAGAGGGTTTTGATTTTTTTTTAAAAATTTCCTCTTTGCCGAGTGACTTCATAAGGCACTCGGCAAAGACATTTAAAAAAAATTAAATCTTTGCCGAGTGCCGTGCTAGGGGCACTTGGCAAAGTATTTTTCCAAAAAAATTGCAGAGTGCCAGATCTGGGACACTCGGCAAAGAATTTTTGTTAAAAAAAAATTAAATCTTTGCCGAGTGCCAGATCTGGGACACTCAGCAAAGAATTTTTTTTTAAAAAAATAAATCTTTGACGAGTGCCTAACAGGTGGCACTCGGCAAAAGAAGGACATGGCCGAACACTGTTACGCAGGTCAGCCTATGCCGAGTGCCGCGCTTTTGCCGAGAGTTTGGCACTCGGCAAAGAAGTTCTTTGCCGAGTGCATTTTTTTGCCGAGTGCCCAATTTTTGACACTCGGCAAAGAATTTTGCACTCGGCAAAGTCTCTGTTTCCAGTAGTGTTTGGTCGGAATTGGTGTTGATCTTCATCTCTTGCATTTAATAGGTAGGGACAGAAAGCTGAAGCCGCTGGAATTCCGCACTTGTGAATTTTTCACCCCGCTTGCTTATCTTATTATTATCACCATGAAGGCTGCTGCAACTGGACGGTTTCTGCTGGTGCTCATGGCTTGCAGCGTGCATGCTGTCACCTGCAGCAGCAGCAACACCACTCCTGGGAACCAAACAGATCGACTATCACTGCTTGAATTCAAGAACTCGATCAGTTTGGATCCACAGCAAGCATTGGCTTCTTGGAATGACAGCACTCATTTCTGCAATTGGGAAGGTGTCACGTGCAGGACGATGAGCAATCGTGTCACTAATCTTGATCTTGGAAATCGAGGTTTAGTCGGCCAAATATCTCCTTCGCTCGGAAACCTGACATTCCTGAAACAGCTGTCCCTAGCAACAAACAGATTCAGTGGACAAATCCCAGCAGCCCTTGGCCAGTTGCATCGCCTCCAAACCCTCTACTTGAGTAACAACACGTTACATGGAGTTATACCTACTTTTGGAAACTGTTCCAATCTGGAGATACTATGGCTCAATGGGAACAATCTCGTTGGAGGATTTCCGGACCTGCCACTTGGACTTAAACAGCTGGAGCTTGGATCTAACAATCTTTCAGGCACCATCCCTCCTTCTCTTGCCAATATCACAACGCTTAAGGGGTTGGGCTTCAACTACAGTAACATTGAGGGAAACTTCCCACATGAGTTTGCGAAGTTTCCGGAGCTACAGCGTTTGCGCACTAGTGCCAACCAATTGGTAGGTAGTTTTCCACAGGCCATCCTGAATCTTTCAACCCTCGTTTCCTTTCGTATTGCAATGAATGATTTAAGCGGCGAGGTGCCACCTGGCCTAGGTAGCTCTCTTTCCAACCTCCAAATTCTTCTAATAGACTACAACTTTTTCCATGGTCACACCCCTTCCTCGTTGGCCAATGCATCAGATCTGCGCATGATTGATATGTCAAACAACAGTTTCATTGGCATGATCCCTAGTTCCATTGGCAAACTTGGCAATCTCCACGGGCTGAATCTTGAGTTAAATAAACTTAAAGCTCGTAACAGTCAAGACTGGGAGTTTATTTACAGCTTAGGCAACTGTAGTAAGCTACAAGGATTATCAGTATTTGACAATCAGCTAGAAGGCCACGTACCAACTTCATTAGGTAACCTTTCTGTTGAACTGCAGATATTATTACTGGGGAATAATCAATTATCAGGTGGTTTTCCTTCTGGCATCGCAAACCTTCGCAACCTGATGTGGTTAGGACTAGGTGGGAATCAATTTACAGGCAAGGTTCCAGAATGGCTTGGAACTCTAAACAGTTTACAAGTGATGATTTTAGGTAACAACAATTTCACAGGGTTTATTCCATCATACCATATGAACTTGACTCAGTTATCAGATCTCAGACTTCAAGCCAACAAATTCGAAGGGCATGTACCTACAAGCATAGGAGTTCTTCAAAATCTTCAAGTATGTAACTTTTCAAATAACCTTCTTCATGGTGGTATTCCCAAAGAGATGTTTGGAATTCCAGCAATCCTTCGTATTGATTTATCTGTAAACCACCTGCATGGGCAACTCCCTTATGAAGTAGGCTATGCCAAGGAGCTCATATATTTGAATCTTTTGTCAAATATGCTGTTTGGAGACATTCCAACCAATATAGGTAATTGTGAAAACTTGCAATACATTGGGTTGCAACAGAATAGTTTCGGAGGAAGCATACCCGTTTCACTGGGCAACATAAGGGGTCTAGAAGTTCTGGACTTGTCTCACGATAATTTGACTGGGTCAATACCGATGTCCCTCACAAACCTCCAATACCTTGAGCAACTAGATTTGTCATTCAACAACATCAGTGGTCAGGTCCCATTGAAAGGGATATTCAGTAATGTGACTGCTGTGAGGATTGATGGAAATCCAGGGCTTTGTGGTGGGCCATTGGAGCTACACCTACTCGCATGCCATGTCATGCCTGCTAATTCAAGTAAGCAGAGGCATTCCATTGTACAAAAAGTAGTGATCCCATTATCTTGCATTTTGTCCCTTGCTATAGTCATAACTGTAATGGTTGTCTGGAGAGGAAAACAAAAGACAAATCTGTTATCTTTGCCCTCATTCAGTAGCAAATTCCCCAAAGTTTCATACAACGATCTCGCTAGAGCAACATGCGGGTTCTCATCATCCAATTTGATTGGCAAAGGAAGATATTCTTCCATGTATAAAGGAGAACTCTTCCAAGACAAAACCATGGTTGCTATCAAAGTTTTTCACCTAGAGACATGGGGGCACAAAAGAGCTTCATTGCAGAATGTAATGCTCTACGAAAGGTGCGGCACCGAAATCTAGTTCCTATACGCACTGCATGCTCTAGTATTGATTCCAATGGAAATGATTTCAAAGCCTTAGTCTATGAGTTCATGACACAAGGTGACTTGCATGAGCTACTGTTCTGGACTCAATGTGATGGGAACACATCAACTCGAAGCCACATCACAATGGCTCAAAGGTTCAGTATTGATGTGGAGGTCGCAGATGCATTGGAGTATCTCCACCATGGCAACCAAGGAACTATTGTCCATTGTGATCTGAAGCCTAGCAACATTCTTTTGGATGACAATATGACAGCACATGTTGGAGACTTTGGACTTGCAAGGTTCAAGTTTGACACTGCAGCATCGTCGTCCACTTATTTAATGTCGTCTTCTGTCGCTATTATGGGAACAATAGGGTATATTCCTCCAGGTAATCCAAGTTTCATGCAGCGTAATGTTTTCATGTACTTTTATCATTGTAGTAAACAATTCTTTTGTGCAATCTGCTGAGTGTGCTGCAGGCGGAGCTGTTTCGAGTGCTGGGGATGTTTACAGCTTCGGGATTGTTCTACTTGAAATATTTTTGCGAAGGAGGCCAACTGCTGATATGTTCAATGGTGAGATGAACATTACAAAATTTGTTGAGATGAACTTTCCAGACAGGATACCACAGATAATAGATCCTGAACTACTAGTAGAGCAACAACATTTATGTCCAGAAACTTCAGTGGCCATGAAGGAGAAAAGCTTGGAGTGTTTGCTTTCAGTCCTAAACATTGGGCTTCTCTGCACCAAGCCGTCCCCGAATGAGCGCATCTGCATGCAGGAAGTCACTGCAAGGTTGCACGGAATCAAGAAAGCATATATATCATAGTCAAAACTGAGGTAACACTAGCAACGTCCGTTATACTTTGATATCGTATACTTCAAAATTTGTTCTAGTTTGTTCAAAAAAAAATGTTCTAGTTGAGTAGTTGTATTTTACTGTTCCTATTTTCGTCTTGCAGGATGAATATCTTTTACCCTAGTGTCTAAGGCTGACACAACAAAAGCCTATCTCTCTGTACCATAACGTCAGTTTAAAAAAAGTGTATTTTTCTTCAGGTTTCGTTCGACTCAAGCACTCCCCATCTTCACTGCACGACACAGTAGCATGTAATCTTCAGAGTGGATACATAATTCTAGCACAAGAGAGAGTATTCAATTTCACCGAGCATGCATAGTCTTGAATTTTCTCATGTTTGATTTCTGAAAAGAAGGGATTTCTTTTTCAGAGACGGGTTTAAGGTAGTGTTAGTGTCGACTAAAGTAGTGGTGTTGAAGCGTGGACAATTTATTGGTAAAAGCTATGAGTGCAGAGGCTTGTTTCGCTTTTCTTCAGCAAATTTTTGTAATAAGTCAGTGAACCATATTTATGGCACGGATAATGACAATGCGAGTGTTTGGCATTCTCGTTTGTGTCATGTTAACTTTGGTTTGATGTTATGATTGTCCATCATGAGTTTAATTCTAGATTTCACTATTGTCAAAGATTCTAAGTGCCATAGTTGGGTGCAATCAAAGCAACCTGGAAAGCCTCACCAGGTAGAGGTGAGAGAAATTTGGCACCTCTAGAGCTAATACATTTTGATATATGCGAGATGAAGAGGGAAAAAAGGTGGAAAGAGATATTTCATGACTTCAATTGATGATACAACTAGATATGCAATGTTTACTTGGTCAAATCTAAGGATGAAACACTATACTACTATAAATTCTATATGTCTAAAGTTGAGACTAACTAGAGAGGAAGATTAAGCGTCTAAAGATGGATCATGGTGGTGAGTATTTTTCGAGATTGTTTGATGGATTCTAAGGAACACGACATTATTCATGAAAGGAAGCCTCCCTATTCGTCTGAATCAAACAGGATTGCCCAGAGGAAAAGTCGCATGCTGAATGACTTGGTGAATGCCATATTAGACACTGCTAGTTTCTAAGGCATGGTGGGGGAGGCTTTATCGACTACGAGTCATGTCCTGAATAAAATTCCAAATAGAAATAAAGAGACAACCCCATATCAGGATTGGGTTGGAAGGAAACCGTCACTTTCATACTTGCGTACATGGGGATGTTTGGCGAAAGTCAACGTACCAATTTCTAAGAAGCGAAAGCTTGGACCCAAGGCTATGGATGGCCTTTCTAGGATATGCTCAATAGAGCATTGCCTATAGGTTTTTAGTGGTAAAATCTAAAGTTCCTGATATGCATGTTGATACAATTATGGAATCTCATGATGTTATATTTTTAGAATATATTTCGTACGAAAGACGATATGCATAGAAATTCTAGATTTTCTTCTAAGATAGCTTGACATTTTCCTACACCTATCAAGTCTCCTGTTGAGTCATTTGAGCATCCACATGAGGAAGTCCTTGAGAAGAATGCCAATGGAGCTCCTGTGAGGAGCAAGAGACAAGGATTACAAAGTCTTTTGGTGATGATTTCATTGTGTACCTTGTGAGCAATACTCCGTTGTCTATTTCAAAGGCATATGCATGATCCAAATGTTGATGATTGGAAAGAAGTTGTCCGTAATGAGATGGACTCGACCCTTTCTAATGTGACCTGGGAATTAACTGAGTTACCCTATTGTTGTAAACCTACGGGCTGTAAGTGGGTGTTCAAAAGGAAGCTTAGGCCTAATGGTACTATTGACAAGTACAAGGCTCGGCTTACGGCTAAGAGTTATACCCAGAAGCAAGGCAACGATTTCTTTAATACTTATTCACATGTTGCTAGAATGACCACTATTCAAGTGCTACTTCCCAGGCTGCCTCATATGGTCTTCTCATTCATCAAATGGATGTGAGTACAACCTACCTGAGTTGAGGAAATATATATGGATCAGCTTGATGGGCTTGTTGTACAAGAAGAAGAGCGCAAGGTGTGTAGGTTACTGAAATATTTGTATGGCTTGAAACAATCAGCCAAGCAATGGCATAAGAAGTATGACAGAACTTTTACCTTTGCCGGCTTACCATTAATAAGGCTAATAAATGTGTGTATTATCGCCATGGTGGAGGCATATTGTTACACTATGTTTGCATCTTGATGATATTCTGATTTTTGGCACAAACATTGATGCAATCAATAAGGTAAAGTCTTTTCTCTCAAAGAGTTTTGACCTAAAAGATCTAGGAGAACCTGATGTGATTCTAAACATCAAGCTTATTGAGGATGAGAGTAAGATTACTTTGTTGTAATCACAATATGTTCAGAAGATCTTAAGCCAGTTCGGGTATATGGATAGCAAACCTTCTCCAACACATTATGATCCCAATGTAACATTGAAAAGAACAAAAGGATAGTGTACAGAAATGGGTATGCTACACTAGCAGATCTACCATGTTCAACCAAGATAACGACATGCGAGTAGAGGATCATCGATCGTTACCACTAGAAGCACAACATAGCCAGAGTTGCAGTAGCCCAACGTCACGCATCATTGTAGTGGAAGTAGTCGTACATCCTCACATACTAGTAGCAATAACACGTCCACTTGCCTCGTGTTCATTGCCGATCGATGTTGCAGCAACAACGGCAGTGTCTCCATAGTATCCACACTCACTACTACACTATTTTTTACCGATGCGGGCAAAAGGGGTTAACCGAGGCGGGCAAGCCATCCGCCTTAGAGTGAAGGTCACGGTTAATGTGGCCTTAACCGAGGCGGTTTCTTGCCCACCTCGGTTAATCAGTTAAAAAACAAAAAAAATAACTGAGCCTTCCGGTGAGCCTATTCTCGAGCCCACCGATGAGCCTGTTCCTAGCCCATGGGGGCGAAACCGCCTGGAGGAGCCGCCGTCGCCAGATCTACGCTACCGTGGAGGAGGGAGGGGAGGAGGCCAGGCCACGC